GGAGAGGGAGAAGCAGGCTTCCCGCGGAGCAGGGAGCCCGATGCGGGGCTCGATCCCAGGATCCTGGGATCATGACCTGAGCCGAAGGCAGACGCTCAACGACTGAGCCATCCAGGCGCCCGTATTTTCTTTTTCTTAACGGAGAGAATGAAGCGTTGAAAGGCCAGTAAAGTGGATAGACTCTAAGTGGGCAAAATAAACCCAAAGCGCTGAGCGAACAGATTCAGGCACTAGGAGGCAGAGCTGCACTAACTTCTCCGAAGGTCCCGCCTCCGCCTCTTTGTCCCTGCCCTGGTCTCCCCCCACCCCTGCGGTGCCTCGTTCCCACTGCGGTAGCCTGGGCCGTGATGAAGCAGTTTCCGCCCTAACAGGGGTGGTCCGGCGCCCCCTGCTCTCGCGAGGACTGGCGGTCGAACACATTTCCTCTTTGCTCCACCGCTGGGTCCCCCATCACAGTTCAGCCCTTCCTGCCCCCCACTTCCGGCCCGAAAAGCCACCCAGAGAGGGGGTCGCCCCGCCGGGGCGCGGGCAGTGGTCGGGTCCCTCTTTCCTGCCCATCCAAATGGCCCACAACTTCCGCCACCACCGTCTCCTCCGCCGCTGTTCCTTCCGCCACGATCGACGCAAACGAAGCCACACACCCCCAGCTCAGCACGGGAGCTTTACTTCGCTCCGGGAGAGGAGAGGGCGGGGAGGAAACACGCCTCCATCCCCTCGCCCTTGGCTTTTCCCTTCGCCAGCCCGCCTCATCACCACACACCCTCCCACCTCCGCCGAGGCGAAGCCGCATTCGCCCTGAGAGAGGCGGGGCTGCTCTTCTGGCCCCGCTCTCGCGAGCGCTCAGACCTCTCGCGAGACCCGACGCCCGACTTGTGCGCCCGGGAAACCCCGTTGCTCCCTTTCCCCTGGCTGGCAGCGCGGAGGCCGCACGGTAGGGCGGGCGCTCCGGTTCGGGCTGGGCGCGGGGCGTCAGGGCCCGACTCCCCAGCCGGGAGCGCGTGCCGGCGGGCTCCGGGGCGACTGCGTGGGGCCGCCCCGCCCCCTGGAGCCGCAGCCACGTGCGAGCGGCAGGCCCGGACATGCCCGGTCGGCGCGGTCCGGGAACCGAGACTGGGCCAGGTGGGCGGCGTGGATGCGGGGGGCGCCCCCGATTCGGGGGCTGGGGTCTTCTAGCGTTTCCACAACGGCGCCAGGCCGTGCTTGTGCGACCCGCAGAGACCGTGAGCGGCGGTGAACTCGAGCACCCACAGGCTCCGGGGCCTTTAGGGCCCAGTCCCGAAGCGGGACCTTGGGAAGTAACGGGAGTGCGGCGGTTTCAGTCGCGTGGGGGCGAGGCCCCGGCTCCTCTCAGTCGTCTGCACCGGTCCTGAGCTCACATGCTTGCTCCTCCTCTCTCAGATGCCTGGAGTTACTGTAAAAGACGTGAACCAGCAGGAGTTCGTCAGAGCTCTGGCAGCCTTCCTCAAAAAGTGAGTGTGGGGACCGGGGCTTCACGGCGGATGGAGGCTGTGGTCTTTGCCTGACTCCTTGGCAGGCGTTGTTTCTCTCCCCGGGGCGGGGGCGGG